ATTTATAATGTCCAGGTGTTCATTATATAAACCTATATTTAAGTAAAACAAAACGGAAAAAATAGGAACACCTGACAACCACCGTTGCCATGGAAACCTAAGCGACATGTGGCAACTCTTAGTATTGGTGCGTATGCGCGTCACAATCGGGCAAGTGGGCAGGAGTCACGGGCATTCCTCCTCACTCACACACGACTCAGATTTGGAAGAAAACCACCAGAGCAGCGGGCGGAAAATTGAAGAAACAAATGCTGCTGACCGGCGACCTGCAGCCGCATCGCTGTCTTTGTACGTCCTCCTAGCTCTGCTTCTCATACAATTAATGGAAAAATATGTTTAAGTGAGTAACGAACTTTGAAATCATTGAAAGCAAACCGGCAATAGAAACGTGAGAACAATACTCATTTTTTATATCAGTGAATTAGCCAATGACTTTATTAAATTATGAATATTACTCTCCCGTGTCTAAGATCACTTTACACACTTAAATGAGAATCTCCACTATGGGAAAATGAAAGTGATAGTTACATCATTGAAGTTAAATTAATTTAATTAACTTTTATAAAAAAAAAAATGCCAGACCTTGTCAATTATGAACCGAGTATAAAATTAAATATATAAGAAAATAAATTAATTAAGACTTGATAAAGAACAGACATTGATAAGGATATGACATACATATTGTAACGAGCACAAGGGATGTGAACTTAGAATGACCCAAAATTCGTCTAGAAACCACCCTGTGGTTTCTAGAATTTGAGAAGTTCTTTAATGAAGTGAACCTGAAAGAACTTGCTGGGCACTATAACATTGACCTAAAAATAGAGGAGGTCCTTGTTGCCAGAAACTTCATTGCTCGCAAAGCAGATGCTGGGAATCCATCCCAAGACATGCTAGCTGTATACAACCTCCTAAACACAGACATGTTTCCCTCTCTGAAAGAGGTCCTCCAAGTTGCTCTGACTGTGCCTGTGCCTGTATGCATATGTATTATTTAGGTATACCTCAGTTTTTAGCTTTAACCATGTGAGAAAAAGGTACTTATTTATTTTTCTAGAAAGATGATATTTTATTTTAATAGTTTTACATGAAATTGTATATATTTCAATATTATATTTTTCTAAGATGAGAAAATTGGAAAATATGATTGTTTACCCTACAAAGAATAAGCTTTTTTGTTACTCCCACCATACATTCTTTATTTAAAGGGTACGCTATTATATTTCAATAGTATTATTATATTAAGGTTGTATAATTGATATTTTTGTAAAGAAAACAATATATATTATTTTTGTTAATGGAAAGATTCATTTAAGTTCTGAAAATTATGCAAGTATACATTAAGAAGAACTGTAAAAGTGCTCTGAGTAGACTTTAAAATTCAAAGTATATACAGTGCTAAATCCTGAAACTAAAGCTATAATCATGGAGAGAGAGAGAGAGAGATCAGAGAGGAGTGCCATACAACAACCTGAAAGAGTATTTCATTATCGTGAATATCTGAGGTAAGAAAGAACATTCCACTATAATTATATAATTAATAAAGTCATGAACTACTGTACAATTGATTTACAGAAGAAAAGTAAGTAACTATTTGAGATTAAACTGAAAATTAGAGATAAAGAGTATGTCTTCTTCACAGCTCGAGGCTGGCACATGGCACAGGGCACTTGAACAACATCCGATGTGTCTCTCTTATTATTAAGAATTTAAAACCTATTTAAAGAGTAAGTGTTCTTAGCATTTATAATTGTAAAATATTATAATATTTAATCAAATTTTACTGTAATATATTACTCAGATCGTATATAATGACAAATATTATATGTAATTTGTTTGTTTGTAAGAAACATTGTTTTTCATCTTTCAAGAAATTATTTACTTATATTTAATAACTTTAAATTGTTTATCATTCCTAAACTAGAATAATTATTTCTTTTCTAGGAATGGGTTTTATTTTATTTTTTTATGGTTTATTTGGTTCTGCTGAAGTTGTGATTTATTCGTCCCTGGTGCTGTGAACAAGAGTGAAAGGGCCCAGGATATTGATGAAGACCAGGAAATAAGATACCTGAGAAGAACAAGTAGTGTAAAAGTGACAGGTTGGAATACAAATATTTGGACATTTTTGTAGATGAAAATTTATTTTACTGTAGAAGTGTAATGATCTTTGACTCAATATATCATCAATTGTAAGCTCATTGAGTGGTTTTATATTACCCCTTCTCTCAGTTACCTCTAAGGCTGAAGATAGATCCTAAGTAACCGTTATGAATATATATATTTTTAGTGTGGGTTCTAAAGAAAACTTTTGGAGAAACCACACATTAGATTAACAGATAGTGCCTCTCTGGATAAAGTCTTAGTGGTTCCCAGAGCAAAGAGAATAGGGTCTTTGCTAAGGAGCATAGAAAAGGGTGGGCGCTTTAGCAGAGGAGGTGCTAGGAAAAACATCTGGGAAAGGAATGCCTCAAGGAAAAGATACATAGTGGTGGAGTGAGGAAGTTCAAGTTAAGATCAAAGAAAAGAAGGAGGCGAGAAAATCAGGTAGAGAGGAAGATCGAGCAGCAGCAAAATCAGCCAATAAAGAGGCAAAGAAAGCAGTAGCACAAGCCAAAGTAAGAGTAATGGGCGAAATCTATGAAGAGTTGGAAACAACAGAATGACAGAAAAAGATATATTTGTTAGCAAAGAGGAGAAATAGAGCGACAAAAGATTTCACACAGATAAAACAGGTAAAGGATGGAGAAGGAACACTACTCAGACGAGAATGAAATTAGGAATAGATGGAAGGTCTACTTTGAAAAGCTACTAAATGAGGAGAATGAGAGGAGAGTTTTTGGAGAAGGTACATCAAATGAGAGAGAAACGCCAGAAATAGAAAGACAAGAAGTAAGAGAGGCCTTGAAGAAAATGAAAAATGCAAAAGCTACTGGACCCGATGAAGTACCAGCAGAAGCGTGGAAAAGTTTGGGCGATGATTGAGTGGATCTCTAGTGGGATCTTTTCAGGAGGATCTATGATCAAGGAAAGATGCCCAATGCATGGAGGGAGAGTGTGATCATACCAATATATAAAGAAAAGGGGGACATACAAGATTGCGGGAACTATCGAGGAATCAAACTGATGTCACATACAATGAAAATATGGGAAAGAATCATAGAAAGGAGGATTAGAAATGAAACTCAGATAGATGACCAACAGTTTGGGTTCATGCCTGGAAGAGGGACAACGGGTGCCATCTTTGCTGTTAGGCAAATGATGGAGAAATATGGGGAAAAAACAGAGAAAGTTCCATATGGTATTTATAGACTTTGAAAAAGCGTATGATAGGGTGCCAAGAGGAGAAGTATGGAGGTGTTTGAAGGAAAGGAATGTGTCTGAAAAGTATGTCAGATTAGTGCAGGATATGTATGAGGGGGCAACAACGCAAGCAAGGTCGAGCGCTGGACTGACAGAAAAATTCTCTGTCCCAGTTGGACTCCATCAAGGGTCTTCTCTGAGTCCGTACATCTTTGACCTGATAATGGAAGTTTTGGGCCAAAACATCATCACACCAGCCCCTTCGGATATGTTGTTTGCGGACGACATAGTCCTAATCGATACCACCAGAGAAAGGGTAGAAAGAAAACTAGAAGCGTGGAGAAAATAAATGGAGGATAGAGGGCTAAAGATCAGCCGTAAGAAAACAGAATACATGGTTTTCAATGGAGAAGAGGAAATTGGAGAAATTATGTTATTGGGGTAAAAGGTGAAAAAGGTCAATAACTTTAAATACCTTGGTTCGCATTTAACATCAGACGGAAATTTCGATGTCGATATATACCATAGGATAAAATCTGGGTGGAATAATTGTAAAAACGTGTCTGGAGTGCTATGCGACAAGAAGATCAGCGTAAATTTCATAAAATGGTAGTAAGACCTGCAATGATCTATGGTGCGGAAGCGTGGCCTATTTAAAAGTCACAGAAGAAACTGGACGTAGCCGAAATGAAGATGTTGAGGTGGATGTGCGGAGTAACAAAACTTGATAAGATCAGGAATGAAAGAATTAGAGGGACAACTAAGGTGGTAGAAGCTTCAAAGAAAGTGCTGGAGCGGAGGCCTCAATGGTATGGTCACGTTAAAAGAAGAGATGGACAATACCTGGGAAATAGAATCTCTGATATGATAGTGGAAGTTAGAAGAAGGAGGGGGAGACCAAAGAGACGCTGGAAAGATTGTGTACAAGATGATCTAAGAAGCAAAGGAATTGATCTAAATATAGGTGAATATGAAAACCGAGGCGTTTGGAAACGGCTGACCAGGAACAGCGACCCCGTATAGAAACGGGAGAAAGCTGAGGAATAATATAAATATATATATATATACATACACACACACACACACACATATATATATATTTGTGTGTGTGTCTCTATATATATATTTATTTATCTATCCATCTCTACACACACACACATATATATATATATATATATATATATATATATATTCATATGTGTATATATATACATATATGTGTATACAGACAGATATAGATATAGGCATGTGTGTGTCGGTCTTCTTTCGTTTAATCATCAAAACGAAATACTTCGTACGTCATTTTCATATAGAATACATGAATCTTTTTATTTTAATTACAATAAAGAGGATCATAGTACAAGCTAGAACCCTATTTTCAATAAATGAAGTCTTCCAAATCAGTTGCCATATTGAGGAGGTTGAGGAGCCGTCATGTATTTTGACATCCTTGTTTAGTAAAGGCAAACATGAGTTTACCTGAACAAAAACACCATGGAAAATTAAGTAAGCATAAATCATAAAAGCTTATTTTTCTTGAAAAATCTAAATATTAAAAATGTTTTGTACAGCATAAATCAGTAAATGTGTTCCTAAAAGCTTGGGACAATTACTCACCAATAGTATCAAGAAGTTTGTTACCTTTAGATGAAATATAATGCTATTTATTCCCCACGAGATATCTTCTCTGTGTTAAAATATATTATGTATATGGATTCTCTTTTGTATGTAGTCTCAAAAATACCTCAATAGATTAATTATTATAGATATCATAGCTTTAGCATATCACACAACAGTATGGCTTCTCCTTTATATGCAATATAATATGATTCACAAGAGTTGTTTCATGTGCAGCCTTATTGCAAATATTACAGGAGTATGGTTACTTCATTGCATGTACTCTTAAATGGCTCATGTGATTATGGTTATGTGAGAATGCCTTTTAGGAAATATCGTAACTGTATGGCTTCCGCTTTCTATGTAATCTGATATGCTTTACTAGAATGTGGAGGCCACATTGTATGTACTTTGTATGTACTCTCCTATGCTTTACTAAAGAACTTGCTGCACAGCTCACAGCGGAATGGCTTCTCCTTTGTATGTACTCTTATGTGCTTTACTAGAGAACTTTTCTCAGAGAAGGTCTTGCTGCAAAGGTCACAGCGGAATGGCTTCTCCTTTGTATGTACTTTCATGTGTCTTACTAGATTACCTGTCTCAGAGGTCTTGCTACAAATCTCACAACTGAATGGCTTCTCCTTTGTATGTACTCTCATGTGCCTTACTAGATGGCCTTTCTCATAGAAGGTCTTGCTGCAAATCTCACAGCTGAATGGCTTCTCCATTGTATGCACTCTCTTGTGCTTTACTAGAGTACCTTTCACAGAGAAGGCCTTGTTGCAAATCTCACAGCTGATGGGCTTCTCCTTTCTATGTACTCTCATGTGTCTTGCTAGATGGCCTTTCTCATAGGTCTTGCTACAAATCTCACATCTGAATGGCTTCTCCTCTGTATGCACTCTCATGTGATCTACTAGAGTATCTTTCACAGAAAAGGCCTTGCTGCAAATCTCACAGCTGAATGGCTTCTCCTTTGTATGTGCTCTCATGTGCTTTACTAGAGTACATTTCTCATAGAAGGTCTTGCTGCAAATCTCACAGCTGAAAGGCTTCTTTTTTGTGTGCACTCTCATGTGCTTTACTAGATTACCTGTCTCGGAGAAGGCCTTGCTGCAAATGTCACAGCTGAATGGCTTCTCCTTTGTATGTACTCTCATGTGCCTTGCTAAATGGCTTTTCTCATAGGTCTTACTGCAAATCTCACATCTGAATGACTTCTCCTTTGTATGTACTCTTATGTGCTGTACTAGAATACTTTTCTCTGAGAAGTGTAAGCGTAAGTGACCACGCAAGCCACTAGATGTAAGCGTAACAGAGGGTCTTGGGGTGGTCAATGAAAGGGGTCTTAACTTGCTGGTTTATTTCTGAAGATAGATATGAGACCCCCAAGAGACCCCCGTGTCCCCGGGTGGAGGACGAGGTGGTGGAGCTGGACCCTGTGTCGCTTGGCCTGTCTGCCGTGTCTCCTTCTGTCCCCCCTGTGTCTTAGGCACGTGCCCTTTTATGCGGCGGTTTCCTTGGAGGGCGGATGTTTATTCCTGTGTGAAAAGAGAAAGGAGGGCAGCACCTGCATCCTGCGCAAGGAGAAAGGCATTTACTTGGACCGAGGTGTGAATCTGCCATCCGGTCTTGCTACGTGTTGTTCACATCGCTCGGCCGCGCGAAAGGCTCGTCCTCGAGCCGTCTGCAACGCTGGAACACTGCAGTAGCGCATAGGGATACAGGTTCTGTTCGGTGTCTACAGATAGTTCCTGGTGATCCGATGGTCGCTTGGGTCGTCGCGCGTCAAGGTAGCGGGTGCGGCGGAGGTTTCGCACTGAGGTGCAACATTCAGTAGCGAGGAGGGTCAATCATCTTCAGAAGCTGAAATATAAGTGTACCAGGCCAGTAAAAGGGCTAAGGGGATGGTAATAATGCGTTTGTCAATCACCTTACTAAGTCGCAAGAAAAAAATGAGGGCATAATAAGAATAGTTTGTTACGAGAAGGGTAATGTGTCAAGTAAGTGGTGTTAATTACTTGGATTTGTTAGGATTAGCGAGTTCTATAGAGTACCATCATACCGAAGAGAGAAAAAGTAATTGGACAAGAATTCCATATCTTTGGGCTACATAGGCAAGTATATATGCTTCGAACATATAGGCAGCTGGGCCTGAACTTAATTCTAACAGTGCGCGACTCGGCGCTTCAATCGTATGAGCGTAAGTGTGCGGCGGGCGCAGGATTCTTTCGTTTACGGCCATGAGCCGGGCGTGCGCGTCTGGTCGCTTCAATCGTATGAGAGTAAAAAACATCGCGGTGCGGCGGGCGCAGGATTCATTCGTTTACGGCCTTGAGCCGGGCGTACGCGTCTGGGCGCTTCAGTCGTATGAGAGTAAATAACATCGCGGTGCGGCTGGCGCAGGATTCATTCGTTTACGGCCTTGAGCCGGGCGTGCGCGTCTGGGCGCTTCAGTCGTATGAGAGTAAATAACATCGCGGTGCGGCGGGCGCAGGATTCATTCGTTTACGGCCTTGAGCCGGGCGTGCGCGTCTTGGTGCTTCAATCGTATGAGAGTAAATAACATCGCGGTGCGGCGGGCGCAGGATTCATTCGTTTACGGCCTGGAGCCGGGCGTGCGCGTTTCGGGCGCTTCAATCGTATGAGCGTAAGTAATATCTCGGTGCGGCGGGCGCAGGATTCTCTCGTTACGGCCATGAGCCGGGCTTAAAATTAACTTGCGGTGATAATAATAATGTAAGCCTATATGAAGTATGGTGTCCTGTAATGCATTATCATCGTTATGATCATTTGCAATAGACTACCTACCATCAGTCAGATACAAGTTACATATTCACCAATTCCTTAAGCTAAAGAAGCATAAATTCTAGCATAGATGAGGATAAGATATCGAACTTCGAGAGGGCGTCATGAAAACGATTTGGGTTCATTTGAAAGTCTTAGGGATGGCACTTAGTAAAAATCATAATCCTAGAGTGAATTCCGTGTAGGGTGGGCAGGTAGGTGGGTTTGGACCTAATGCAGGTAATCGGCATGAATCTTAAACCTATGTGTGAAAAAGCGAACGATTAGCGTGGGGAGTATAAGTAAATACAGGTGTTGTGAAAGACAGAACGATATACGCACATTCATAGAGGAAGTAGTAACGAGTTACTTACTAATAGGGTACAGTATGCAGGTGAAAACAATAACATCACAACGAAAATCGTAGCAGTAAATATGAATAACATAACGGGGGAAATCGAACATATCTACACATACTTATCTGTTCTAAGAGAAAGTAGAATATAATGAACTGCAATGTGAAGACAATAATAATAAACATTAGATAAACACAGAATAGCAGAAAAATATCATAGCAATTAAAGTATGGTTAGGGAAGGGGATTGAGGTGTGAGGTGTGGTGTGTGTCACTTGTGTTTGATCTCAGTGTGTGACTTCGCTTGTTGTGTTGAAAAAACAACAACAATGGTTGACAGCGAGAGGTTATTTATCATAAAGTTAGTAGTTTGTGTTCGTTGAGTGGCATGTACTTGAATTTGAAAGAAGGCAACTTGTATGCAAGGTGTGGGTGGGTATAGGGAGGGCAATAGTTAATCTGGCACTAATAGGCACACTTACTTTTAATAGTAGCTAGGAAGTATTGGTGGTGCTGAGTAGAATGGCGGCTCCATGGTTATGCTGACGAAGGTTCGTGAAGACGTGGCGAGGTAGATGAGCCGGATTTGTGGCGGCGTAGAGTGCGGGAACATATCGTCAGCGACTTCGTCAGGAGGGTAGCACAGACGTGAGTAGTCAGCACGAAGTAGTAGGGTAGACATGGTGCGAAGAAGACTTGGTAGCAATGGCTGGGCGTTAAAGTAGGCGAAGAGGCACTTCGACAGTAGTAGCTTGTAGGCAGATAGCATGGATCGGCGTCGGCGAGGAGGTAAACGTAAGGCGTTGTGAGGTTCTTGATCACCGCTGCCATCAGATGTAAGCGTAAGGCGTTGTGAGGTTCTTGATCACCGCTGCCATCAGATGTAAGCGTAACAGAGGGTCTTGGGGTGGTCAATGAAAGGGGTCTTAACTTGCTGGTTTATTTCTGAAGATAGATATGAGACCCCCAAGAGACCCCCGTGTCCCCGGGTGGAGGACGAGGTGGTGGAGCTGGACCCTGTGTCGCTTGGCCTGTCTGCCGTGTCTCCTTCTGTCCCCCCTGTGTCTTAGGCACGTGCCCTTTTATGCGGCGGTTTCCTTGGAGGGCGGATGTTTATTCCTGTGTGAAAAGAGAAAGGAGGGCAGCACCTGCATCCTGCGCAAGGAGAAAGGCATTTACTTGGACCGAGGTGTGAATCTGCCATCCGGTCTTGCTACGTGTTGTTCACAAGAAGGCCTTGTTGCAAATCTCACAGCTGAATGGATTATCTTTTGTTTGTACTCCCATGTGTTTTATTAAAGTACATTTCTTTGAGAAAGCCTTGCTGCAAATCTCACATCTGAATGGCTTCTCCTTTGTGTGTACTCTCATGTGTCTTGCTAGATGGCCTTTCTCATAGAAGGTCTTGCCACAAATCTCACATCTGAATGGCTTCTCCTTTGTATGTACTCTCATGTGCCTTGATAGATGGCCCTTCTCATAGAAGGTTTTGCTGCAATTCTCACATATGAATGACTTCTCCTTTGTATGTACTCTCATGTGCTTTACAAGAGTACCTTTCAGAGAGAAGGCCTTGCTGCAAATCCCACATCTGAAAGGCTTTTCCTTTGTATGCACTCTCATGTGATCTACTAGAGTACATTTCTCATAGAAGGTCTTACTGCAAATCTCACATCTGAATGGCTTCTCCTTTGTATGTACTCTCATGTGCTTTACTATAGTACTTTTCTGAGAGAAGGCCTTGCTGCAAATCTCACAGCTGAATGGCTTCTCCTTGGTATGCACTCTCATGTGCTCTACTAGATGACCTTTATGAGAGAAGGCCTCACTGCAAATCTCACAGCTGAATGGCTTTTCCTTTGTATGCACTCTCATGTGATCTACTAGAATATCTTTCACAGAAAAGGCCTTGCTGCAAATCTCACAGCTGAACGGCCTTTTCTTTGTATGTACTCTCATGTGCTTTGCTATAGCACCTTTCTGAGAGAAGGCCTTGCAGCAAATCTTACAGCTGAATGGCTTCTCCTTTGTATGCACTCTCGTGTGCTTTACTGTAGTACCTTTCTGAGAGAAGGCCTTGCTGCAAATCTCACAGCTGAATGGCTTCTTTTTTTGTGTGAACTCTCATATCAATGTTGATATAATTCTTATGAGGAAATTTCTTGCCACATCCCTCACATACAAAACTTTTCAATTTGGCTTCCACTTTTGGTTGTGTATCCTGATTAAGAGTTTCCTTATGCATCGCCTGATCTCCATCTGATGAATTCTTATTCAGACAATTCTCAACCACAAAAGGCGTTCTTAACGTGCCTTTCCGATCCTGAACCATATTATACATGTTCTTTTCATTTCCTTCATGTCTTACTTCATCAAAACTATGAAAGAAAAGACATTCATGTTTCACTTTCTCGTTGTTCACCCTCTCTTTGTCTGCATAATCAAACGGTTCTTCTTTAATTTCAATACAAGCGGAAATATCTTCACTGAGCTCTTCTTTGATACTGGCTCCTGTGCCATAAATTTCCTCGTCCGTGAGTGGGGCCAGAGGCATCCAGTCGGCGAGGATACTCATCGTCATCCTGTGCATGGAATGTATGCCAAGTAATATATGCCAACTATATAATAATTTTGATACTAAAATGATCATAAATGATTTTATATTACTTAATATAACAATAACCATACTTACAATAACAAGACAATTCATTTCATAACGTATTCCCACATGTTTACTTACAGCAAAGTAATTAATAATTATGATATACATATATGTATGTAAAATAAACCCTCTTCTATCTATCTACTTATCTGTGGGTGAAATTGTTAAAAATCATGTGTAACAATACTGATACTAATATTAACAATAATGCCAATGGTAATGGTCATTTTTATCACAACAGTGCCAATACCAGTGCCAGAAACAGTAAAACTAAGAATTATTATACCAAACATTATATCAGTAATAACAATAATAATGCTAATATTCTTCATAATATAAAATATTGTAAAAATGCGGATACTTATAATACAAGTAAATAATATTGGTGATGTGATAACTATATATAAGTAACGATAAACGAGATACCGGTGTGTATATATATGTGTGTGTGTGTGTAGATAAATCTAAATATAAAAACAAATATATACATGAATAAACATCTTTATATATATTTATATATATATATATATATATATATATATATATATATATGCATATACAAACATAGTATGTATGTATGTATATGTGTGTGCACATAAATCAATAAATCTGTATACATCTAAATACACACACACACGCATACAGACACATACACGCACTCACACACACAAAAACACAAACAAAGGCACACACACATCTATCTATATATATGTATACGTAATGTTGGTGCTCCTACTGGGTAATGGTTAATAGCTAAAACAAATAAATGTGCTAAAAATCAAGGTCTTATGGCCCTACTAGATGAGTATATTTTCTTGTAACAATTTACAAATATACCTATAGACATATATATAAATATATATACATGCATATACATAAATATATATATATATATATATATATATATATATATATATATGCCTATACATATTTACATATATAAATATATATTATATGTTTTTGTTTTTTGTTTTTTACTGATGCTGTGTTTGGCGAATTAATTAGCACAATGTTGACATGCTGATTATTTATACTAGGGTGATTAACCAATGAGCCTTGCCCAAGGGAGTAGTTAGGTAATTTTTGGAGTTTCTCAATCCACCATGCACGCACCACTAGCGCGTGCTCATAGATATATGCGTATCTCTCTCTCTCTCTCTGTATATATATATATAGAGAGAGAGAGATAGATATATAGATAGATAGATAGATATAATGTATATATAAATATATATGTATACATATACTTTTTTTACATAAATACATTTTTATGTATATAGCATAACGTGTATGTGTATATATATGTGCGTGTGTGCCTATATATATGTATTTTTTTTTTATAGTACACACTATAATGCAGGGCTCATTATAATGGAGTGCGTATGTGTGTCCATGCAGACACAGTTCAAACGTTTTTGCATGAGTATGAGCGCGTCTGCTAGGAAGTACGCAGGCATATATGTGTGCGCGTACATGTGTGTATGTGTCCATGTGTGTGTATACAAGAGAAGCAATACACATGCGCGTTTAAATTTACATATGGGACACGTATGCACATATGCAGCCATGTGTATGAAAGTATGTCTGTGCGTATTGTTATGTGTAAGAGTACATGCATGTCATGTGTGTGTTCCCCTGTTTGTACTTGATGGTATATATGTAAATAGATATGTATATTTGTGTGTATATGTATTTATATATACATACATATGTATGTGCATCTATATGAATTACATGTATAGGTGTATACATATATATGCGGGTGTACTCATAAACGTGTGCATACGCGTGTGCGTGTTCACATGTATGGTTGTATGTGTATGTATAGTCATACGTACGTGTACAAGGTGTATATGAATGTGTTCGTATGTAGGTAGGTGTGTATACATATGTACACACATGGAGGTACATGTGACGTGCGCATGTCTATGAAATTGCACGGGTGTATATATATATATTGTGTATGTGTCCATGTGTGTGTATGCAGGTATGTATGTGTGTGTACATGTTCAAGGCTATGTTTGTGTATACACAGTTATATATAAATATATATATATGTATATATATATATATTCGTATAGTTATGAGTACAAGATGTATATGATATTTATGTAAATATATGCATATATGTGTGTATACATATATATATATATATATGCTCACACTTGTGCACATGAATATATATATATATATATATATATATATGTGTGTGTGTGTGTGTGTGTGAGCGAGAGAGAGAATATACATGTGTAAATATGTATAAATATATACACATATTGATAGAAGGATAGATATAGTATGTATAGTTTATGTATATTAACACACATATACACACAAACACACATATACATTATATATATATATATATATATATATATATATATATATATATATATATATATTATATATACTTTATGTATATGTATATGTATATATATATATATATACATTATGTATACTTTATGTATATGTATATATATATATATATATATATGTAAATATACATTATGTATACTTTATATATGTATATATAAATATATGAATATATATTAAATATATTATATATATACTATATACATGCATACATATATGTATATGTATGCATGTACTATATACACACATGTGTGTGTATGGATAAATAAGTGTAGATATTTACACATGTATATATATGTATATATAGTGATAGAAAGGCAGATATAGTATGCATTGTATATATGATATAATATATATATTTTTTATACATAATACATATTGATATATAAATTTATGAATATATATGTATACAGTAAATATGTTCACTTAAATACATTCTGCGTATTTGTATGCATGAATATATGAATCAGAACGAAATACCTGAACTAATTATCCCATGACCTTACCTTATTTCTTCACACACTCTGTCCCGGTAAATTCGTCTCAGCTGAGTGACCGCGCATATGTATATATATTCACATATACATATATATGCATACATATACATGCGTCTATACGCAAATATATACAGATGTATACGTATGTACATCTGTATATATTTGCGTATATACACAAATATATACATGTGTATACATATGAACACAAATATATACATATAAATATCTATACACACACATATATAATCATGTTTTTAAAAACTGTATACATATGAACACAAATATATACATATAAATAACTATACACACACATATATAATCATGTTTTTAAAAACAGATTTACTTTTGTTATTTGTTACTTTGATCAGTCAATCAATCATTTGGAGCTAACGCCGGCAGGGGCGCATAGCCGCATCCACCCCTCGCTTCCACCTGCGAGGGTCTCTCATAGCGAACCGCCAGGCAGGGGCCCGGCCTATCTCTACTTCCTCTCGACAGGTTTGATCGATCTGCCCATGCCACGACCTTCTTGGTCGTCCCACAGGCCTCCTCCACCCAGGGTTGTCACGGACAGACAACCTGGTGGGCAGGGTCATCCTGCAGGAGTCGAGCCAAGTGGCCGTATAGCATGAGTTGGCGATCATGGATTATGCAAGTAACAGGTCCTGTGCCAGTCTCCCGGTGCAACCGTTGGTTGGACACATGGTCCCGCCATGATCCGGCACAAGAAGCTTGAAAACACGTAACTTGGTCATTCTGCACAGGTACCGGCATTTCCAAATGCTCGTGTCGAGAGATTTCATAACCCCTGCTGCCAGGCCAATCTGTCAACTGACTTCCTGGTCTGACAGACCAGAGTTGTGAACTGCACTACCGAGGTATATAAAGCTCTTGGAACTTCAATGTTTTCACCGCAAGCATGTACCAACTGCACAGGGTCTCCTAGTAGGCCTCCAAATTCCTGGATCTTGGTCTTGGTCCAGGAGACCTTTAGCCCCAGGGGCTCCTCTTCATTGCTGAATGCATCAAGAGCCGCCACTAGGGTTTCCAGAAATTCAGATAGAATGGCAACATCATCAGCAAAGTCAAGGTCAGTAACCTTGATATTGCCCAGAGTTGCTCCACAGTGACTTTGGACAGTAGCTCTACCCAGTATCCAATCCATGCAAGTGTTGAAAGGTGTTGGTGCAAGAACACAGCCTTGCCTCACCCCTGCACTAACAGGGAAGAAGCTCAACAGGCCCCCACCACACTTTACAGCACTTTTAGTGCCTGTATACAGGTTTGCTATTAATCCAACAATCCTTGTTGGAATTCCTCTTAGACTCAGGATCTCCCAGAGT